CGACTGCCTGACGTGCTGATTTGGCCTCACTCGCTCTGCCCATCGTTTCGCTGACGGCCTCATTTCGACTTGAAGTTTGCCCCTGAACGTCCGGGTTGCAGTGTGATATGTAGTACGGGGTATCTGAGCAAAGGAATTCACCTACTTCGGCAAAAATCTTGGCAGTGAGGTGCTCCCCCAAGGCTGCTTCGCGATTCATCCCATCCCTAGACCATTGCCCAATCTTAGCCACGTAGAACTCGACGTGCGGGCAAACCATTCCGATGAGTTTGACCATGGTAGCCACATAGCTAGTCATTGACGTAAACAGGCCCGTCATCCTATTTCGACTCAGCATCTCCTGTCTCTTATTGTATTAGTTACCAGACCACGTCATATTCTGTTTCCATGGATGTTTGTACTTTCTGTTACACCGCGTTAGCATTCTCCCGGACAAAGGGTCAGGAAGGGAGGTTTTAGTACCTCTCCTCATTCGATGGATCGTTTGGATTTGCGTTGAGTTAAAGTTCATCGGTGGCATGTTGTTTCGGGCATCCTTTCGCTCCTGGCGGATTCGCCAGTAGCTAGCCGCGCCATCGCATTCATTCGTTCCGAAAGTTCTCCTGAGCCTTCATGGTTGTGATGCTCACTGGACTCCCAAGTGATTCGAACTTGTCTTGGTGCGAGCATGTCAGTTTCCGTCGTGCCCTGCGCGAGTTTTCGGAATCTGCCTAGCTTGTCTTCAACGACACCGAATGCTGGTCGAAAGATCCGCCGTCCAGGCGTTCGCATACACCTCGGTCAGCGCGTAGAGACGTTGTAGTTGGAATTTATTGCCCTGCTTCTCGTTCTCCCATCCTTCGTTTGCTAATCATTGACTTGGCTTCCTCCAGTAGACATGCATTCTTCGGGATGTTTTGAGCGTGTTCTCGTGAGCGAGCTTGACATTCTCCATCGCGTTTTTGATGAACTAGTGAACGTTTGCCAAGTATCTATCGTAAGCCCCGGGGTTCTGAATAACTCAAGATGTTGCATATCAGTAAAGAGATCGTCTTCAAATGTTTAGAGGGCAACATGTGCAAGATCCATCTGTGATTCCCGGCGCTTCAACATACCTTTCAAGTTCTGACATCGAGTAAGAGCGGTCTCAGCCAAAGGGACCCACTATCAGTCAAGTCTCATTGCAGTAGTTTTCGCTACAGAAGGTCCAAACGCGGGCGTACAAGGTATCTCTTCGTTGAGATGGAGGGACGCACCTTGTTCAACTTACATGGTGCCGTCTTGAAAACCCACTTGCAGGGCACTGCATTACTACCGCTCGAGTGTGAACTCAGCTCGACGACGTTAGATACTGCTGAGAGAGCGACTTTGGCGCATAGGTCGGGCTTTTGCCAGTCCAGGTACCCCGCATCGAAAGGAGCTATGCAATGCTAATGACCTCGTCGCGGCATGGCGCCTTATTATTATCCTCCACCTTTAGGTTTAACATTCTCTTTTCACCTTTCATACGCAAAACCCTGAAGATACCCCTTACATTGGTAATATCATTCTCCCGTCATCTGCAGTTATTTCTCCTTCTCTACTAGTGCGAAACCTTTGGCAGATAGCGAGTTAAAATTGGAATCCACCTCCGCCAACGTCTCAGCACATTCAGTAATGTCCTTGCAATAATCGAGGTCCCGAGGGCTGACCGAGTTCTTAATGAGCTGTATATTGGGTCCAATTCCCTCATCCGCTATGTACAATCGTTCAGTACTACTTCTCCAGACATAGCCAGGGTCGGGTCTGGCACAACACCCACCGGGTTCATTACCAAAGAAGCATGCGTAATCTTCTTAGAAGTCCTCGATCTCGAAGTAGCTCTCCATGAGGAAGTCTTCACCTTCTTTGACAAGGCGCATGGCCTGCTGATAGCATGTCCGAGACCCGTCACCGTTCACTGCTAAGATAGTATGAATTCCGGCTGCGTCATGACCTGGTGGCTTTCCATGCTATCGATCCGAGTAATGTATTAAAACAATGCGTTTGAGAACCGGCCATAGCGCATCTCTCCGGTCAGTTGAAGATTGATCATAGTTCCAGATGCCCCGAACGTGACTGCGATCGCGTCTAGTCTAAGTGTACTCTTGGCTTGCCGGTGTATGGTAATCCCTGGTATTTGGGGCCTGGGCTGGAATTTTGAATCTCTGAGTCTTACTTCGATCACAACGCTCGGGATCTACTCGGATGATAGGATTGTCGCCTAAGCCGCTGAGATTTGATTAGCTTCGTACTTCTTCATCGAGAGCGGCGAGTCTCCAAGCTCGACGAATCGGTTGGAGACTCTGCGCTTCCCTGCTCTCCGCATACTGGTATAGAGACGGTGTCAAATCAGCGGCGAGTTTTATCAGCAAAGGTTCCTTGTTGTTCTCAATTGACATGCTGATGTCGCGGAATACTCGATCCCGAAGGTCCCGGGACTGACCCGTTGCCACTCTGCTGGAGGAGATTATTCTTGCGGGCTTCGCACAGATAGCGATCAAAATCGAAAGTATCGTGCATCGCGGAGTAGCGTGCTCTCTCTATCCAGTAGCCAGAAGCTCGTTCTTGAGCCGTTTTATAACTGCCCGCAAGTTGTCGTTGTCGGCAAGGTAAATGAGTTCGTGGGCAAAATGTACACCATACCTATCGAAGGGAAATATGAAGGTAATCTCTCTCCTGGACTGAAAATGATCTATTGCCCTTTGCTGGTCATTCACCTCCTCTATACAGGAGTCTCAAAAGATTGAGCCAGGCCTACGGGACTCTTGCACTCAGAGTTCGTGGCAGTATGTACTTGCTGTTGTTGAGTGGGTTGTAGATGAACTTCGGCCGGATGTCCCAGGCGATGGTTGCCACCTCAGTTCTGACAACGAAGGTTGCTGAATTGCGGCAACTGTTAAGCTTAGGTTGCTTCAAAATTTGATACAAAATGTTGTCAGGAGCGTTCACTAGGATCTTTTCAACCAAACTCTTGCTACTTGCACTGGCCTTGTTGTTGCAGGTTTTATTCATTGACAGCGGATTTGGAAGGTGGTCTGGACCACACAAACACTCCTTCCACTTACATAACTTTTCTGAGGAATCGTGGGTTCTGCCCACTTCCTCTTTCTTGCCACTTCCTCCTCCTTCCATCTCTCCTTCCACCTTCATACGCAGCAATCAACACCACTTTATTGGCCCTTCGTATCAAACGTGCACTTGCACTGCTGACGTGACACCAAGATTGATTAGTGCTTGGAATGACCATGATTTTTACGACCTTGTAAGTATCTAGGGATCAGTGGTAGGGTTCATCACAGGTCAGCTAGGCCACGCAGTCAACAGAAGAGACAGTATCGAACAGACAGACAGACAGCTCTGTTGCCTATTAACTTAGATGACTGAGACTTACTGGCAGGATCACTGTCAACGCTGTGCTACCTACTTCCGACTGCGGAAGCTAGATGGAAGCCTTGAGAGCGCGTTCCATCTCGCAGACCTCCGCTAGAATTTCACTGCGGAAGGGTCATTTCCGTAAGTCCTCAGCCCATCAGACCGGTGGTCGCTGAGAAGACGGAAGTTCAGCACGCCGTGCGACCTCGTTCTGTCGGAATCTACTGCGGAAGAGTTTCTCTAACAAGACTTCCTTCTGTTAAAGATCCACTGTGGCAGAATCACCTCGAAAAGCCTTTCAGCATTCTCTATAGACTTTCTTCAGCCGGACGTCGACATCGCCACGGAAGAGTCACGTCACCAAGCCCTCGGCCTTCGGCCCGTCACTTCGCTGGCCGTCAAGAGACGGCTTCACAACATGTCCACTTCCACCCCCTTCCGCCAGAAGCTCGCGGCGGAAGGATCCCACCCTCCTACACCACCACCGAGATTAACTAGTCGCTGAGATCTTCAACTTCATCGGATCTCTTCTAGGGCAACTGTATGGGTTGTACGAAGGTCCTGTACAATGCGGGCATCTTCCGCTTGATACGTACTTACGGTCAGCCTAGATCTCTGGCTATTCCTCCCCGCCTTCGGGGCTCTTCGATAAACGGAAAGTGCGGTAAGTGCCTCAATAAAGAGAGAAGTGCTAGAGTTCTCATCAGTACGGCAGACGGACACTTCCACTTGCCCGCTTTTCCCCGTCATGTCGACGCACTTCCACTTGCTCCAGCTACTGCGAGGGCATCTTCTGTGGCCACTTCGACGACAGGCCTCTCCTCCAGCCAGTACGACGGCAAGCTTCTCTTCTAGCCAGTTCGACGATAAGATTCAGCAGCCATCAGCACTTCCACCAAATCAATTCCATCTACCGCAGCCACCTCAACGACTTACCAGCACTTCCTCCAGTCAAATTTTCAGTCAGATCTCTAGTCAAACATACCTTCAGCCAGTTCAACAGCACCTCCTCTAGTCACTTCGATGGCAACCTACCTCCTATAGCTAACTAAAGGGCAAGGGCCACGAGCCACTCACATGCGTGATTAAAACAGCAGCATACTACAGACAGCAAGTCATCAGCGAACGTATACGCCTCTTGGGCTTCAGCTTGGATAATAACGCACGGGTTCTGGGCGCAGTCAGACCAACAGAATCAACCACGATTATATAATGAGCGTTGGAATGAAGGAATACGGGGGCTTTGGACTTTCAATTCTTCATGAATGGCAACTGCTGCCGAGGTGCTACCAAATAGAAAAAGAGCATTCGGGAAGAGGGGATCTCACCACCGAGCATGACGGCTGTACGAAGCCGCTGCATTTCCTACCCACAATTCAGACACTGCCAGTGCTAGATTTGGAGGCAAAAAGAGGAGTTAAAAGGTAGAAAGACTATTATAACGGCCATTCCACCTACTTACACCTGAAAGAGGAACCATAGGCTCTACCCAGCAACTACCTCCACCCATATTCGCAGTCCAATACCCGATTCTTGAGCTTCCTACCCACCGAAAAGCTGATCTACTGAAGTGTATACCAACAAAAGGAGTGAGGGGATTCTAGCTTACATATACATCAAAGATCAACATGTCCAGTAGATTGCGTCGAATCGTCGCCTGCGTTGATGAGACAGGGCGCAGTGAAGATTCACAGGAAGGTGAGCGACCCTGGAGACTTAAGCCACCTAAAGGAAAGCTGCACGCCATCTCAGGACGTGGGAGTGGCAATTACAGCAGCCTGTTCCGTATCTATGCTTTCCTCAAGAACGGCAAGAATACTGACGAGAAGGGAAACAAAGTTGAGCAGGTACGGGCTTCCTAACCAAATTTTGCGTTTGCCGCAATCGCTGATAGATTTGAATATTGTCAAGTACTGTCCCGGAATCGGCGCTGACAAGTGGCCGTTGGATTAATACAAAGATGGCGGCACCGGTGCTGATTGCGCTGAGGAGATAGTCGAGTTTTATTCCGTTTGTAATTCTCCTACCATAATCCCCTCGAGATCAAGGCGTACTGAAATATTCTTACTTCTGCACCCGCGCAGTCAGGTCCTCCGTCAATGAGGTTTACTTAGTTGAATTCAGTCGGGGAGCTTTTACACTTACCCTGCCCCCCTGAGAGGATAGGACTATGGAAGATCGAGCACAGATGTAGCCGCGCCGTGGCGGCACGCATTGAGTGGTTCCCATCGAAAAACGTGCCGCCAGACCAGAAAGATCATTTTCTAAAGCGATTGAAGATCGTGGGTAAGGAGAAAAGCAATAGGGCCCAATCACACCGGGTTGAGAGTACTATTTTGGAGAAGTCGGGGACGTCCATGTCCTTCAGGTTGCTGAATCTATAGCTAACGATTGCATCTAGTTGTCAACACACACGTGAGCCTCAGAAAGTCAAGTTTCTGGGGCCTTTTGACACTGCCAAACAACACAGCTCTTCCGAGGAGGTCGATACTCCAGACGTCAGCCGAATCGAGCCCGGGAGACACGCTCATGCCATGAACGAGGAGCGCAAGCACTTCCCAGTCCTTCGAAGCGAGCCCGTCGACAACTCTGGGCATCGGGGGCAAGAAGACTGCCACCAGCAAGCAGGACTCGTGGGCACTCGTGATGATATGTGCGGAGGAGCAGTGCACGACGGACTATCTCTGTTACCCCTCCAGTGGATGTTGATTGAAAGCAGATCCCAGGGTGTGGTATCCAAGCACGATCCTCCGCGCCATCTTAAAGGTCAGATACAGAAACCCTTGAACTTAATATTTCCCAAGCTCACCATTGGTCACCCCAACGGCAAAAAATTCCACAGTGCTGACAGAGACGCTTTAATATGAGGGCCCCGTTCCGTCTCAAGTCTGGATATACCGATACTCCAACGGTGCTCAAATCAGCATGGTCGATCTCCGCAGTTACACAATCATGGAAATCTTTAAGAGGTCACAGAAAGTAAGCTTCAAAAGCGCCATAGTCCAGAGAAGGCCACAAATTGGGTCAGCATCAACAAGGGAACCTGAGGCCACCTGGGTAGAGGAGAACGCGCTGTGTTTGCAGGTAGCACACTTGGTGAGCTGCAGGGCTATAGTACCTGTTGTAAGCTGTTCTGATAATTATTGGTGTTTGATCTGACCTAGATCTATCCAGCAAAAGGCGGAACTGTCGTTCACCTGTCCATCTACTTCTTGATGAACACATACGCTACCTCGGGTATACAGTAAGCTTTGAAAGGATTCCAAAGTCACACGGAGTCTGAACGAGAAAAGGTATGCTTGACCTGATTTTTCGACACAGGGAGGACAACAGCGAGATTTAATATCCAGATCCGAGGTCATCTTCCGATATTTAGCACAGGATGCCGGATCCTGAGCTGCGGTAATGCTGGAGTCGGAAAGTCAACTTTGCTCAATCGTGACTTTGGCATAACCATGGTAAGACATCGACGAAGAAAGCAACTACGATTCAACACTAACGTCCTCCAGACCCGTAACAAGCTAGTCGAAGATTAATACACGATGCTTTCGAGACAGGTGAACACCTGGAATCATGGTCACGATTCTGAAGGGTTTCAGGCCGGCAACCTCAAAGAAAGTGAATGCGTTCAAGGAGTTTCTGGCCAAAAGATCAGGCCAGACGCTGGTCGAGGAGAGCTTTCACGCAATATGGTATGCGTTGTGTCATCAATTCGCGAAGGATATTCCATTGCATGAGCTCAGCGTTTAATTTACCAGAACTTGTGTCGATGCGAAGACTGCTCGCCCTATTCAGGCCGCTCTGGCTCGTGCGCTGGAAGAGGTGGCGTCCACTGCACCTTTAGTCCCCATAATCATCGTTGGCACGGAGAAAGATAAGTTTCTCCTACCGCACAGGTACGATCAGACGCGGTACGAACACCACTTTGATATAAGTTAATGAGACTTCGCTATCAGCGGAGAGACAGATTGTGTTGAAAGTAATCTTTTGAGGCAGATAGAGACTGGAGATAAGAGAACTTTGGCCCAAGTTGTGCGTGAAGTTTGCATTCGTTTCCAGAGGTACGTGGTTCCTCGTTTCCAGAGCACTTTGATCTCTCTCTGACCACCCTCGCATATTTCTAGATGACGAAGACTCTATCAAAGGTCTGATTAGTATGGCCACGGCTTCATTCCATGAAATTGTCGTATCGGAGGCGATCTGCGCAGCCCACATCCCGGACATCGAGGCCAAGATTGACCAGGCTATCGAGAAGACACTGAGACTTCTCAGAACGGCTGTGCCCGCCGCTCGTATCCTTGGAGCAGGCACTTTTGTCGCGACGCCGACTGTCTCGAGATGCCTTTGTCAAAATTCTCGCATGGTTGCTCCTGTATACCAGAGGCAAGAGTGGCTGAGACTGGCATCGTTCTAGGCAGTGTCGTCTGGAGGAACTTTCTTCCATTCATGACACAGGAAGTGGCTCACAGCACAGTCCTCTGGGGCGGCTGTGCCTGTCTAACTATGTTCAAAGGTGTCGGTAGCCTCCCTCTTGCAGTTGGGGCACGCTTCTGCAAGTGCCGTCCACGGAGAAAGGCTATTCACAGAGAAGTCAGCGACTTGATACCATTGGTGTATGCATTGGCCGTCGATGTCCACATGCATCGAATGAACCATCTTTCTAAGTATCGTAGCAGGATCGAGGAGATCATGGAGAGCACGAGTTCCATCTGGCCGGAACTGCAACGGTTGAGCAAAACGATGATCTTGAGTTTGACTGACAGTGTTGAGTTGCAGTACATCTCTGAGGACGATGACGATCCCAAAGGCTTATGGGCTTAGTTCCAAAGCTGCATCAAAGTCTCCGGAAAGAACAAGATATGTACACACATATATGTAGGTAGACAAGACGGCTGTTGTTACTTTGACCACAACAGATAGCCGCCTCCATGAAGAGTCAATCACGGTGATAGTCATCGATACATATTCAGCGTGTGTCTTGTCCAGGCTCTGACCCGAGCTCAAGTGGCTGCGAGCAGAACGAACAAATACAACGAGCTGTGCCAGCAGCAAGATGTGGTACTGGAAGCACAACATGCCAGACCTGCCTGCCCCCTGCGTCCCCGCGTCAAGCAGCATGGTTCTTTGCACCACCCGCGACCCGCGACCCGCGACCCCAAACCATAGAGTCATAAGAGCCATGCATACTTACTTTCTTCCAAGAGACTAGATAAGTATCTAGCGGCACGAAGCAAAGCAGAACAAGGGAGGTTCGAATGCCTCCGTGATCACTGGGATTGACGCCCTCCGCGGCCGGGCATTTCCATGTCAAGACAGGGACCGAGGCATGGCCCAGAAGCCTTTGCTTTGGTCGAGGTACTAAGGACTGTTTAGCGCCCAACCTCTGTCGCTAAATATGGAGATCCGAACCGAAGGCTTTACCATTGGCCGGAGCTCTCGTGGCTCCTCACCAGCTGCAACCGGGCTGTTCTCCGCTAGAACCGAGCGGACCAACACTCGAGCATCCTCATCTGCCAGGGTAGCTCAAGATTCGCTTTCGAGTCCCAGACGTCGACATTGTGGCGAGCAACGAGTGCGCTGATCACGATGCTGCAGCGCTTGACGCACTCCGTTCCTATGCAGCATGCCTTATTCCCAATTGATCAGCTCATGGTCCACTTCGCCTGCCGGAGCCTCGCGAACTAGCGATAATAAGTGCCTAATTGTTGCCTGATGTCAACCCCGCTCGGAACCAACGATAGCTTTATGTTGTGCGCCGAACCAGTTGGGACATAACGGCGGTTGGTTGTTGTTCTCTGCGCAATGCACCAACAACGAGGCGATCATTTGCAGGTAAATCCACATCAACTGGCGCACAAAGATGTTTGAGTGGCTAAAACCCCGGGCGTTGCAGGCACGCCATCCCACACGTTCCCGCTCGCCCGTCTAGCATTACACCTCTTCTCCCATCAAAGATTGGTGTCCGGCAAGGCTATGTTCTGCGCAAATGAGTACATCTGCCGCCTTAATGCATGCGTCTAGATTCGATATTACTGAACCTGCGCCTCCAACATATGACAAGATGCAAAGGCTGAGACCATACATAGCGCATGAACGAACCCCGCTTGGCCGATGGGAACAGGTTCCTCGGCCCAGAATCACAAACAACCCATGATCCGGAGGAAGCGAACAAACGTCTAACCGACATCTATTATCCAGCAAAAGCCTTCCTCATATCAAGGTCAAAAAGAGCTCCTTGGGTCGCGCTCCACCCCAGCCTTGAGAGATAGATTGATAGCACCATCATTACATGATCCCTGCTACAGCTAACCGCCTCATAGAAGCAATGGTCATGGGGCATATCGGTGGTTGTCGTTGTTCTTGGGCTACTGCAAGTTCTTCTCCCGCTTTGTCTCTCCCAGGTTGGGCTGGTTGAGGTAGGTAGATAATTTACGACAGGAACAGCACCATGTGTCACAGTTTCATTGGACGATAGTGCGAAGCCGCACTTATACGGCATACTTACGTTCTATGTGCCGAGTTTATAATTGGACTGATGGCTCATATTCCCAACCATTCCGTGCGATCTCTCTGAGTACCATGATCAACATTAGTCGTACGGCATTTCTGGCACAATGAGCTCCCGCTGTGTTACATGCAACCGATCCTTCAGCAGCGAAGAGGCTCTTCAACAACACATGCGCGACTCTCCTATCCATAGTCCGTCCTACGACTGTGATATCTGCGATCGTTCCTTTGGCAACGACGAGGCTCTTCAACAGCACCTACGCGACTCCCCTGTTCACAAGCCTTCTTATGACTGCAGCACCTGCGATCGATCTTTTGGCAACGATGAGGCGCTTGAACAGCACTTACGCGACTCTCCTGTTCACAAACCATCCTATGACTGTGATACCTGCAAACGATCCTTTGGCGACGATGAAGCTCTTCAGCAGCACAGACGCGACTCACCTGTTCACAGGCTTTCCTATGATTGCGAAAGTTGCAATCGGTCCTTTGGAGATGAAGAGGCTCTTCAACAGCATCTGCGCGACTCTCCTGCTCACAGGCCGTTCTATGACTGTGATACCTGCAATCGATCATTTAGCACGGAAGAGGCTCTTCAACAGCACCTTCGCGACTCTTCCATTCATCAGCAAAGCACGGAAACACCTTTAGATGTATTCTTCCGTTCATACGCGTCCCTTGATTACGACCGATCTCTTCCACCACATATCTCGTACGCCAACTTACAGAGACATATGGGGTGGTATCATCGTGATCAGCCGGCGTCAAAAGAAGCCTGGGATAAATACCAAAAAGCTCTTGAGAAGGAATTTCAAATGTGGTTTGGTGAGGAAGACGATTTGGCTGCGTGGCATGCGCTTTGTCGCGCAATTGGGATCAACCCATTGCCGGTTACCAATGAGCAATGCAAAAAGGTTAGTGTCCGTGATCTGATACCGATTAGATCTATCTATTCTAACATGTATTGTAGGCTGTACGACGGACGCATGTCAACATCGTGGATTTGATCGAAAGCAGGCGGGGAAACAAGGAAGGAGTTCAAACCTTTCGAAACGTCAACACGCTACGAGCCTACACCAAGGAGACAAACAAGATATTTCCCAATAAGTTTCACGGAGAAAATTGCAACGGCGTCTTGAGACACCTGCTTCGAAACATACATCGCGCGAGCCTTTGAAGAGTCAACGTAGTCTATTTGCACATAGCCAGATGGAGAGGGGCCTGGATCATCAATACTACTCAATGGCGAGTCTAGACATAGCTTAGCTACGGGTACTCCCTTCAGAGATAGGGGTGAGATGCTCCCCGTCCGTTCGTTTATCTGGACAGTATATCGAACTTGATTAATGGAAGGATTTATAGCTAGGATGCATTGAGGTATCATTTATTTGAGCTTGATTGCTCAAGACCAGCGATGATGACAGATCTCACGATGGTCTTGCCTCAAAGAACGAGGTGAGAAGGCTTTAATTGTCCTTTGGCGGCTCGTAGCTTCGGGTTGCTAGATATGCAGAGCCTGTGACATCGTGACATGGAACAGGGTTCAGTCGTGACACGGGCGAAGGCATACGCCGACCGCATGTCCTCATTAAGGAAAAAATCCCTATTTTTAGTTCACCTCATGACCACCATTTATACCCGTCTTCCGAGAGCATCTGCTGCGATGTCAGTTTTCTTTTGGTCCAATGAACGATGACTTTGAAGGAAAGCTGCTCTCCTCAACCTCATGCAAGGCTTCTTGAGCGATCGCGGACATCTAGTTAAATGGTGGACCACCTTACTGCATGTACATTGGCACTGACGTTGAAGGACTGCTAATACCTCAGTCTTAAAGTAATCAGGCAACTACGAGCTGAGTCCGCCCGGATATAGCACCGCCAAATGCACCTTCTATACTCACTCACGCTTACCCCTGACGGAGCAATCCGCCGGGGCCCTACCGTGTAGATGATGCACTGCTCCAGATGAGTCGCTGGCATGCGTCTCAGTGGGTATTCTTGAGTGAAGCTACGGCAAGTCCAGGCGCTGCTTTGAAGTATCTGCGGCTCTTCCCGAGTTAGTTGTCCAGGTAAAGCATTAGTATACCTGTTCACAAAAGCGCGAGAAAGCAAGAAGACGTCTAGCAGGCCTTCTTCCCTCAACGGGCTGTCTCATATGCGCAGCATTGTGTTTACTTCCCGGTTGCGGCTAAGTAGCCTTTGATGTGGACAGCCTCGAATTCAACAGAATTTGGCAGGCCAACAAAGTGTGCTGTAGTCGTAAGAAGGCTATCCGTGGATTGGGCCGCTGGTTTGACCGTGATAACTTTCCCTTGATCGGGTAGGTGGCTCGCCCAGGACGACCTATGGGCTGAAGTCATCAAATCGGGTTACACCGCTCAACATTGTGTCAATTGAGGCCGAGAAAGTAAATTTGAGGATATTGGTCCAGCCCCAGACTAGACAAGATGGAAGTAAAACTACGTCTCTTACCATATACGATAGGCGGTAGACCATTCAAAGGTTGCCTGCCCCGTCCGCCTTCAGATCCAATTGACCCGTGATGCCATGAACAGATCAGACGTTGGCTGAACCTTCCCGTGGAATTGAGCCACCGCAGCAGCACCTCAGCACACGGAAGACAGAGTTCTATTGAGCAAGGTCAGTAGTCGGATTAACACATTGGTGCATGCCGTGGACGTCAAGCAGCCCGTTTTGATAAGGTATATCACTTCTAGGTATAAAAGCTTGCCACTTTCGTCTCGACCCCAGCCAGGGTCTTATCGGCGAAGTGTGCGTACAAGACGCGCGACGAAAGACGGCCGGCGTCATTGTTTACAGAAGCTCTGCGTCGCGCATGCCACCACCCGAGGGCGGTAAACCGCCGGTCGGATCATCAAAATACAGAGTCAATCCAAGTGTAAGCACACACATACCTGTCCCAAATGGCATCGGTTTTGGTATACTTTAGTCCCGTCACCGAACCAGGCGGCACGAATTTGAAGTCGGTGAAGATAGCCATCATGTGCCGGATCAATGGCTCTCCACCGCACCAGGGCGACTGCACTAAGGTGAGGTTGGAGTCGGTGATCTCTCTCCTTGATGGAATTGTCTTCTTTCTGATTCTTCGAACGACCAAATCCCAGCACGAAGGCATCGGGCACGGCAATCTACATAGGGCTTTGCAGACCTGTCTGGTCCAAGCCTCCAGGCCCAGGAAGAATCCGCCCGGGTTCACCTGATAGTGCGGCTTTTCCATCAAGCAGGCGCACATACTAGTGCCTGAAGCCCTACCGAGCCAGTTACGAGATTTCCCCGGCATCTATGGCTCGTAAAGTAGTTTGGCTCGAACCCGCTTCCTTCGACCGCCGCATCTCATTCGGCTCTGGCCACCAGACGAGTATTATTGTTGCACTGGGGCTCGAGCTTGATGATGGTAATACATGCGAGGATACAGCGGCGGCCTCATTTGCTCTCGGCGTCTGAATTGGGTGAATTCGACTGAAAGTCAACAGTCATCCCACCGGTGTTCAAGCCTATCTTAAATGTCTCTTTCAAGGTCCAAGAGAACAACGACTGTGATGTGTCGTTGTGAGTTCGAGGGGAAAGGTTGGAGATATTCAAAGAGGCGCCAGGCGTGCCGAACTCGTTGCTCAGCGCGGGACATGCGCAGGTACTCTCGCGAAAGGACCTGCTGGTATACACGTCAGCAGGGCAGCCTTGTGGTCATTGACAGCTAGAGGAAGTGCCGTCGAGGCGGCTAAAGGAGGTCACTAGTCGTGGATGTAGCCAGAGGGGTTGCCGTCGAACTGGCTGGAGGTGGAGTTGGCTGGAGGCAGTGCTGAAGGGCCATTGGGATGGCTGCAGTAGGTGAAAGTGGCTCGATGAAAGTGCTGATGAATGCTGGCCCGCCGTCAAAGGGACTCAACACAGAGATGTCATCTTAGTCTATCCTACCTTCTTCAATGACCACATACGACCATACCCATTGGAAAATTCGGGATCCCGTCCGCTCTCCCATAGACAAGCCAATGAGGGCCGGATTAGTAGTTGGGTCGGTGACGACCAGCGAATACCTGGTGTTGTATGTTTTTTGCTGAACTTGTGGTGATATCTCAAACAATCGTCCAGAGGGAAAATTCTCGGCAACTCGCCGTACTGATGGAAACCCCCGGCACTTTTCTCTTTGTCAAGCTACTGGTCTTACTTATCGGACCTGTAGTTCCATTGACGAAGGAGCAAAAGGGTGAGGAAAGATGGAGGGATGTAGGCTTACCGCAAATTTCGCAGAAAACGGGGGATGCGCACTATCAACAGAGACTTTGTCGAAACGAAGGGCTACCCTGGCAGATACTTGGTGGAAGTTGGAAATTCTAATAGTTGTTGGCTGTTGGATTTCGGCGGTGGTGTAGAAGGATGAGATACTTCCGCAGCGAGCTTCTGGACGAAGGAATCGAGGTAGGGGTTCGGGGAAGCCCTGTACCAGCGGTCTGAACCAGCGGCTGGTTGCGGGGCGCTTGTCAAAGGAGCTCTTTCCGCAAGGAGTTCTGGCAGAAAGAAAGCTTGGTGAAGGAAACCTTCCGCGGCTAGGTTGACCCTTGGCAGCAGAAGGTGGTCAAGATGGATTTCTTCCGCGGCGATCAGGAGAAGCAATTCAGCGTGACGGCCGCTCAAGGAGGTCCTGTCGAAGTGATCCTTCTACGGCGGATATCTAGTGGAAAGAAGACTTGTTGAAGCGAGCCTTCTCGCGGCGAGACTCTCGCGCAAGGAGCTCGAAGGAGGCGGGAGGGCTGTTTGAAACGGCCCGATCATATTCCAAATCCCTCTTATGCCGTGAATATTCCAACACTTCTGGAGCACCGTCTCCCAGCGGCCAGTAGTCTGGCGGTTGATCTGGCGGCTGAGGGCTTGTCGACCAAGGTCTTTTCACGAGAAATTCTGGCAGGAAGAAGCTCGTTGATGTGGCCCCTCCGTAGCGACGTCGGATTCTGACAGAAGGGAGCCTAAAGGGACCGCTAGAGAAGGAGTTGTTGAGATGATTCCGCCGCGGTGGACTTCTGGCGGAATGAGGTCGTAAGGCAGACTGCCATTTTCTCAACGGTCCAACGGCCCATCGCCTAACGCCCAACGTCCAACGGTCAAACGATTAACGGTCAACAGTCTCAGGAACTCGCCGAGGGAGCTCTTTCCACAGGGAATAATTCTGGCAGAAAAACAACTTGCCGAAGGAAGCCTTTCCGCAGAGGACTTCTGGTGGAAGAAACTGGTCTTGTGGGTGTATTGGAACATCGTCTTCTCAGCGTCCAGCGGTCTGACGACTGAGGCACCTGTCGGAGCGACTCCTCCGGTGAGCTGGCTGAAGGAGGTCTGTGTGATGGGACGCTCTCTCGGCGGCCTGAGACTGGCAGTCGGTCAGCGATGACGGAGGAGAGATTGAGATAAGTCAGAATGGGTCGTGTATCGCCAGTTGAACAGACGGAATAAAGTCAGTGTCTCGTAATCGCTGGCTCGGCCGATCGAGACTGTCGTTTCTATCGGTCATGCCCAAGCTGCCCTGTGATGAAAAGAGTTGTCTAATTCGACCACTGATCAGTGTTAGGAGACGCGTTAGCAGGTGGAAAGGTCCGTCGGCACAGCCTAGCCTACCTTTTCTGCGGTCGACATTCCAATAGAATCCTCACCTGCTCTTGATGTATGGAGATATAGAAGCACGTTTCCTCTGGCCGCATGCCGGAATGTAATTGACGTTTGGAGCCTCTGTCGTCAACGCCAACTCTTCTGGGTAGACCGGAGCTTTAGCGAGGTTTTCTCTTTTGGCCAGCTTGGCCGTACGCTTGCTCGGATGGGTGTTCCCGTGGGCGACAGAGACGCAGCAGCGCAAATTTTGTCAAGTATGAAAGACTGTGTGCATAGGACATTGGTATTACTGGCGTGGAAAAGATGAGACATAAGGAAAACACGATGACGTGCCGCTCCAGTGCCCTCATTATCGCAGCGTTCATTCGAACTCGACTCCAATAATTTGCTGCGAAAAGAGTCAGAACATGAGACTCAGCAGATAAGAGGGCCTAGTTGTCCTCCCACTTTTGGTTTAGAGAACCACAAAGAGTCAAAGACACTACAGGGCCAGCACCTCAACAAAAACCTCGGCTCGACCCTAAATACCATAATAGCACTTTCAAGCTGTATTAACATGTATGTTTAAATAAGCTAAGCCGTATAGACTCACAACACCATCAACGCCAAATTCTATCTGGCGAGATGACACTAGAATGGTTTCCAAAATCCAACTTCTTTAGCCGCGGTATCAAAGCTATAAATACTTACTAACAGCAGCGTCGGGAATCGATTCGTCGCTGATGGCGATACTAATCGTGGCCTCGAGCGTGGCTATCAAGCTTATTTCGCTTCTGTGGAGATTTTGGAGCAGATCTTGGGCCTTTGAAGTAGTTGCGTAGCGTCTGCCCTCTCCACGCCAGCGGAAGTAGGCTACTCGTTACTCGTCCGATGATACGCACAGATCAGACTATCTTGTACTTCTGATGTTGTGCACCAATTTTTGAGTTAAAAGGCCTCTAGTGAAACCTTTCCCACTTCTTCAAAGAGAAAAGCTCACACTAGGGGCCCAATATGATGTCCTGTCTTGACGAGCTCTTGTCTGCCGTGGTGCTCGTCTCCGAAGGCGGGTTGGCCTCGCTCGTGGTCGGATCTTGCTTGGTGTTTACTTCTGCTTGTTCATGGGCAGTCTGGGCTGAAAGAAGCCACCCTGCGGCATTGGTGCGTTCTGATTTGTTCAGCATGTTGAACTCTGCGTAGGGCGCGGGTTATTGCATGTGGTTGACGAAGATGGCCCAGCCGATGCCCAGGCAGCGGATGTACTCGATAGCATTGCAATCTGTTACCTAGAGAGGATGAAGTGATGGCAGTGTTACTCAACGGACATGTCTTTGCCGGTCCAAACACCTTCATGCTGCTATCCACTGAGTCATTGACACCTGACTACCTAGTGCGAGCGGTGCGTCTTGACCGCAACAGAAAGTGTTGATATACACATCAGCAAGGAAGGCCTTCCGGCCAATACGAAGCTCAATAATCATGGTATTGAATTGAGTATACATATGGAAGGAAGAAGTTGCAGAGCCCACTAATCCTTCGTTAGGTGAAGGTAGGTGAAGGGTTCGTTTGCAACGGTCCGAACACCCTCTGAAATTCTCTTCTGCCCTAAATTTTCCAACAGCGAAACTTCTAGAAGTCAATGTTGCTGTATCCCTGGTAGGTTCCGTGGCCTGAGCCGTTGATCGCGTACGTCGCCAACTTGAGTCTTGCGGGAATGTCTTAGACGACGTGGATACAATCGCTGTGTGAGACCTCATCAACGCGCTTGGTCTCCTGGTCACTTGCAAGTTCACCAACTTTACGGCGTCGCAGCAACAAGTGGATATGTGAAATCAGTAGCAGTTCTCTACAGAAGTATAGATAGTTGGTGAACTGCTTCTTACATGTGATGGTGACCTGGTAGGTTTCGCACGCAGGAGCGGCTGAAACCTCTGCCTAGGCGATCCTGACCACAGGTGCCCAGGCCTGGCGTCTGGCCGAAGAGACAATAGGAGGCCTTGACGTCTATCTTTCGCCTCTGTCAAATGTGCTGCTTTCGTATGAGGAGTCGCGGCTGAACTGGAAATTCAACAGCAGCATTGCTGCCGTGAAGCACGTTGCTATCAAGCACGTTGATGCTGCTTTTGAACCTGCTGTTGTGAGATGTTCATTGTAGCTGATACCAAAACGGCAAAGATTCGGACGTCTTTCACCGTCTTTTCCGAGAGTCGCAATGACGACGTAGGGAAGAGGGGGCGGCGTGGTTGAAGACAAAGGCGGATTGGCATCGCACTACTCGGGTCTATTGTAAATGAAAGGTTTCTGTCATAACGCGCATCCTCAACTCACATGTCTCTGGTTTCAGCGACACTTGCACATCTATTATCTTGCTCAAGGCGACCGAAACGACTTTTAGTAGCGGGTAGTATATCCCTGCAACCACCTTGTCCTTGCGTGGCGGAGGTCATTGATGGGGCCGTTCACGAACTGTCTGTCCACTATGAAAGAACGTAGTAGGTATTGAGTACAAAAAGAGAGACACCCAAAATCAAGGGGTGGTATTCCGAAACCGAGAATCGAACTCGGGGCTATGCCTAACCTCTCGAGAAAATGAGAGGGCATCATGTTGGCCACTACACCATATCGGATTTAACGGCTGGTTAGACATCTGATTGCAGGGCCATAGACTTGGTGGGCCAAGACTAGGAGTGGGTATTGGTGTGGATGTAAATGTGGGCGTGAATATTGAGGACCCATAGATGAACATGAGTCCCTCACCACTCATGCTGTGTTCATTGCTCTGTACGTGGTTCATGCTAGCTGATGCAGCCGGTGATATTTGATAGACGAATGAGTCCTCGGGATATCCATGCGTAATTTCTAGGAATCTTAGTGAGTACTAGTCTCGGGACGTTCGTTCCTGTCTTGATGTGTGAATTTCTGATGCCCTTGAATGATGTGAGTTTTTCTGAGCTTGCTGCCCGCTATGTCATCGCTGAATTCATTAGATTCGGGCATTGCACAATTCATAATGGAGGTTTCTCGCAAAATTGAATGTTGGTATTTGGCTAACATCTCTTCGTGCCTAAATAAAGTCTTCCACTTTCTTGCTCTGAATGAGGTTCCTATGCTGAAGAAGAAGTTTCCCAGCTCCTCCTCGCCATTCCAGGTCCATAAGTCGGGGATGATGACGGTCTTATGTTCTTTATTCATTGAGATTGCTATCATTGAAAATGTAAACACTTTGATATAGACACGAAAGAGAAAAAAAAAACGTCATTCAACTTACATCGTGGCCGAAAAGGTCGCTTGCGTCCCATCCTCGAAGATACAAACAAGGCGTTCAAAGGCCGGAGGGTCTCGTCTGCCCCATCACAGTTTTCACTGTCGTCGTCTTGCTTGACACAGTGGCACAAGTCGTGATGCCCGAGCCGGATCTGGCTTGGGTACTTTCTGAGGTTCGAGATGCAGACTTAGACGCCACCGTAGCGTCCAACATTCAGGCAGGGTCACCGCCGCTCCGCGTTCCAGAACACGATCTAGGCCCAAGTGGTCTTAATAACGTGTGCGATAACGATAAGGTATCATCTTTTCGACAACAACATACGGATCGCAAGTGAGAGTGCATGCACAGCGCAGTGCCGGGAGTGGTGAGCAGGTTTGCGCCTTCAGCTATCTAACTGTTCACCATCAAGAGTTAGAGGATATTCGTGTGCTGCTTCTCCGCAATGTACTGACCCATGCATCCGTTCTGGAGCGGCATATGCAGGCGTCGCTGTCGACATTGCGATGGGCGCGGCAGTACCTAGGGTGACCTCGCTAACGGAGGCGGAGTGATGATCGCGTTTGTCGTGCAAGATGACGCGCTCCAACTGAAAACATTGGAGCGATTGGCGTTAGATGCCAGGGGTATCTTGCACGGGGGTCTTGACAGCGGATTGAGCACTTTTGTGTGGTAGCTGAGGCTGTCGGAGCTAGAGTAGCGGCTTAGTTAGTTCACAGAAGGGGTTTACCTGTTGCATGCCATCCATCAACGGACACTCTGCAGTTGAATGTGCAACGCAAGTCAATCGAAGACTTGTCGTAACATTGCCGGCATCTTTCGTCCATGCCAGGAAGACGTCAAAGTTAAGCGTTTAATTCGAACCATGGTGCGGATATCGGTGAGACCCTCCCTATCTCGACGGACGATCGGAAGGCAGACGTCAGCTGGGATCTGGTGGATTGAAACAATAGCCCACACGGTGGCTAACAGGAATGACCAATCAACCACCCTTGTTTTCATTTTGTTCCTCGTTATCTATTGTGAAGGACTGGATATATGAAATATTCCTGTTTTTGGAGAGCGAGGTCCCGTGGAACGCGAGTGAAGTAGAAGATGTCTGGATGAAGTCGAAGTCAAGGATCCCCATTGTGGTGTCAAAACGCGGCTCAGGACGGCTCTGTTGTCAATCCACGATCTTTTTGGCATGCAAAATTTCCACGGGAATCAATGCGCGATACTCAGACCGTGGGACTGTTGACAATAAGTAAGTGAAGTGTATTCGCTTCCGTCAACAAGGTACCTTACGTTGGACAGGGAAGACGATGGCTTCAGCTTGTGAGATCGGTACGCTGAAGTCCTGATCGTGAGACTTCTCACATGCACGCTGTTGTTGGGCTAGGGCAAAACTACGGCCTCGTTGAGTCAGACGCTGGCGATGTAACGACTGAAATTCTTGACTCAACTACCATCAATGACCTTACTTTCAGCTGCCCTTCCGCTCGAGGCTCTAGAGTTTCTTCACATTCTGGGTTCCCTCGGGCACTTTCTTGAATTTTCCTACGCGGAGTATTCAAAAACCCGGGTGCTTGCCCTCCGGTCCGCAGAAAACTCGAGTCTTGAACCCAGAAATGACGGCTATACAACCGTAATAGTCCCCTACAACTGGGTGACTAAAATGACCGATGTTCGGGAAATGTCGTAGAATATGCTCAGGTCCTCTGCGAATTTTGTCTCGCGCTTTTGATGGACAAGAGTGATTCAGCTCCGAGACCCCAGTCAGATGCACAGACGTCTTTAATCTTTACGAGTCATGGCCTCTTGTTGATGTCAGCATCTGGCATGGGATGACTGATAACTCATGTCCGGAGCCTGGGCGTTTTATCTATTCAATCAGTGCTTGTTGATGACCGTTCAAGACTCTCCGAAGCCCATCTTTCTCAAGTCAAACATCATGTGTAGGTAGGAAATCATGTTGTTTAAAAGTCTCAATGCCGATAGCTTCGAGGCGTCTATTTGAAAGACAGTTGAGGTAGACCAGTCTTGATGGGTGTCTTCATAAACCAGACTCTGGCAAATTTACGTGTCAAATCAAGTGGTTGGTAATATGTCTTGAGTTGAGATCAGCCTCTTTCTCACTCATTCCAATTCTTTGTCTCTTTTATATTCTCTTTCTACACATTCCTAGTTTTCTTGCCCCGTTCAGTCCTCCACCCTCTCCTGTGCTGGCAGCGACTAAGCACAAAGATATCTCTTTTGCTCATCATCATCATCATCATCATCATCATCATCATTCTTCGCGCTCATTTACCAGCTTACTCCGGCATCAGCATACGATGCATTTTCCTTTTGCCTCTAATCCTAGCGGCACTTCATGTGGCCTACGGCCTGGAGAGTAGGAAACGATAAGAAAAATACCTGTGCGATCTCAAACAAGAGCTCTTTTGACACAGTGCTGAGCCTTGTGGCCATTGCAGAGGCTCCGAGCAACCAGATCGACCTCGACATCGGCTTCTTTGGACGCACCTGTTTGCTATCTCACAAGTATTGCCCCGGCATTGGCTGCGCAGCTTCTGGTCTTGTAGTGACGGGACAATGCGCCGGACGGCTCGGGCTTCCACGGTGAAATCCAAATCAGGATTGTAATCAAAGCGGCAATTTCAATGGCCAGAGTGGCGTCAACTAGGTGGCTGAGTTATGTCTCGCGATCGATCATATGCCCCTTATGCCGTCGTGAAGTTCTCAACTTTCGGATTAGAAGTCTATTCCGACTACGAGATAAGGGCGGCACAGGGGCCAGTCCGATTCTCAACCGGACCTCAATTGTCCCTCCATCATACGGTTGGAATCTCCCATACATATTGTCACACAAATTCAATCAACATGCAGCAACTGACCCTTCGTCACCAGCAGGCTCTCAACATCAACCGCGGCAATAAAGCACCAAAGCGCTTGATTTGAGCATCTACGTGCTCCAACAATAGTAACTAAGTGCTTGAATAACAGCAGCTACGTGCCTTGCAGCAGCATTAATGTGCTTTGGGAGAAACGTTCATGTGCTTCACTGCAGCTGTTGGATACTTCATTTACCTGCGACACAAATGCATCTCACATCAGCACCTGTTGCTATCCAATATCTAGTTTATTCACCCTCAAGAGAATCTGGGAAATGACTGCAGCCGTCTTTCGGACAGGCAGAATCACCGCGCCTCGCGTTTACTTATTGAACTACAAGTACAACACGTCGCACAACCGTTTTGTCAATCAAGGGCCGTCGGCGCAAGCTTACCTATTGTACCAGACAACGTAATTGTTGTCTATAATATGAACCTACATGAAGAAAGGGTACTGATACGTTGCCATTGCCGAGGCGTGAAACGTAAGGAAGCCATTGCTCGACTCGTCCATCTGATGAGTCTTCTGTCGGTTTCACTCCTTGGTTAAACATGATCGTTCTCATGTTCATCATCGCCTTTGGTGTCGCTTTTGTCCTCGATATCTTCAAATGGAATACAACATACCCGCATCAAGGAAGCCTAACAAATCTTGCTTTCGGTGAAACCATCAATGTATTCACAACTAAAGACACCAGACGTCTGTCATTCAATCTGTCCTGGGGAGGGGACGTCCCGGTCAAGTTGTAAAAGACGTGAAGGTTACAGGTTGGTGCTCTGCATCACGCCAGGTGGCCACATGCCAATAATAGTATTCAGTCCTTCTCCGTGCCATGAAGCAAAAGCCAGCTCTCGACACCAAGTGCCACAACAATCTTCTGGTTCAGCTAGGCAAACTTGCCAAATTTGCTCGACGGACACCTGCTCTCCAAGGTCCTTCAAGCACTCGATCCCTCGTCGGCTGTCTACTGTGTCTGTGGAAGTCAAAAGAGCACAGGGGATAGCAGGAGTAATTGCGTACTTGGAGCCTGTGAAGTTGGCAGCGGTTTCTTACAAGCCAAGCTGCAGTGTTGGGCAGTCAGAAACAGTCCAGAGTGGTCATTTGTACTCCAAAATGTCTTGGCAGGTGATTGTTGCCTTGACCTGTTGGAACTGGAAGCACCTTTGAAGTATTCTCGCCTGCGTCGGAATGAGGGTGACAATGCCGAAGGCCAGTCAGGCTGGAATTGGTATTTAATCATGTCTAAAACTTTGACGCAACCTTATCTGCTGGCCTGTATACCCGTGAAGTTGACTCTTTGCTCCGGGAATCCACTCGAGGAACTCGGCTATAGTGATGCTGTTGTGGGTCAAATCTCCTGGACACATGATCGTCGTCTTGATGAAGTGAGACTTGTCGAAGTTCGTGACTATGCCAGAATGAGTGGGAGTCGGCATTACGAGACTGCTGCTAAAAGCTCAGGTCGTTGTCGTCGCGGCCTTGGTGATGGTCTTGGTTGGTGATGCCGATGACACCAACACAGGCATTCATTACGAGCCATAAGCTCTCGCAACCTGGGCCGATGGTTTGTTCTGCTTGAGAAACTCGTTACTTGTGATCTGGTTGTTGTCAGTAATTCCCTTGTAGGTAGTCATTTTGCGAACGAGGTGGGACTTATCATGAGTCTTGACCATGTTGGTCCGGGTTGAGGGAGGCGTCGTGGTTCCGTTGACGGCTGTAGTGACAGCCGCAGTCACCTATCAGCTTCTCATCTTAATCGGCTTGGTATTGCTGGATCTCAGTACTCTTGCATAGAAAATAGCTTCTAGCTAAAGACCCTCGCAAATGAAGCCAAATGGCGGGTTCCACTCCAAGAGATCAGTCAGGGAGATCGCACTGCAGCCATCCATGCCATGGCAAGTGGTTGCCGATATGAAGTCATTTTGCAAACATGCTCCATATTAGATTTGATAGACATAGGCGCCGTCAAACCGCTCGCCGAAGCAGTGTCCGGTTTTGCCGTGGTGGTGACAGAGCCAGGAGAAGAGTTCTTCATCGCAACGGCGTACTTTACCTCGACGAAGACGCTGATCGGTGCGCCGGTGCTGTCGACGCCCAAGGACGATGAAAGCGTGAAGATAGGTCTTCCTGCAGCATCCAGAATGAAGTCTTCGACCTGGAGCCGGGCGCTTTCGGCCAGTGTCGGCGCGGCATCCGGTTCCTGGGCGGTCAGCGCTGCCGATGGCGCCGCCAGGGCCCGGCATGTCGTCGTCGCAATTAATGCCTACACAAAAGGGGTCGCTCCGGGGGTCCTCAATGCCTCAATACCGCTTCAGGCCTATCAAATCGTCAGTCAGCCTCTCGACGACAACGTTCGGCGCGTCATTCTGCCCAGAACACGTACCATATATGTCCCAGGATCCGGCTCCACGTGGACGGGCGTCTCCATGTCAGCATCGACGGGCCAGCCTTTCTTTACGACGAGCGATGAACCCTCGGCCTGAGTTCCAAGTCGAAGCCGGCCCGCTGCCACCAACCGTCGACATCACGGCAATAACATTGGGGTCCTTGCGGCCCACCTCGGTCAGAGCGCGATCGGGAGGGCCAAGATGGCATTAAAAGAGGCGTCGTCCGGTCCGATAGCCATCGAGGTAATAAGGCAGTTATCCTCCGTCGAACAGAAGCCCTTCGGTATATCGTAGTAGAGAAGACTGATGATTACGAAGGTCGCGGTCGTTAGCGCTAGTATGATGCCCGGCATCGCAACCGTCTTGCGGACGGTCCAGCCGCACCGGTGGGTCAGGCTGTGAAGTCGGCTTCGGAGCCGCACTGGACGAAATTGTGCTGGGCGTAGTAGTCGACCGGGCGCAGCATGCGCTCGCATATTATCGGGGTCAGGGTCAGCGTTGTCGGGCCGGCGGGCATGAGCCACTATCTCGCGCTCCTGTCGGCTGTCTTCGATAGCCTCGATCTCTGTGCCCTGTTGTGCCCCTGAACCGACCCCATCCCGTGTTTATCCCATCGACTGTGAGTTAATGTCAGTAGATTAGTACGTACCTTCTATGAGGGAGCAGAGAATCACGTATTATTCAACAACTATCCGTTTAGCACTCGTCTTAGTTCCAACCCATGCACCCGACCAAAAAGTGCCCACGTTGGAGAAAACTGGAGGTGTCTGTACTGACGTCAAGTCGCAATCAATGGGATAGCACATTCTCACTGAACGACCCTGCGGTCTTGGTCGTCCGCAGACGGCTTTGCAAAGACGCCACGAACGCTCGTAGCCGAGAAGCGGAACTGCGGGCCGGAGTTGAGTTGACGCAATGTAGCTGCCCTGGCCGATCTATTCTAGATCTTCTTGCTTATGGGGCTGGAGATCGCCGGCGTCGATGCCAAGACAGCCGGTGGCCATGTCCGCCTGTCGTCTCTTGAGGCAAAATACCTCGGATATCGACATCCAGATCGGGCCGATCCTAACGATGAAGCCGGACACGGCCGGATAAACGGCGGGGACCGGATAGCCGACCGCGGCTGTCAGGCGTAAAGTCGGGGTCATTGGCGGTATGAGGGTCGAGGGGTTCGTAAATGAGGGTGCGACACTGGGAAGGAGGTCGAAAATCTGTTTGGCCCGCGATCGCTACTAGTCTTCGTTCCGCCTGAGAACCAGATGAATCTCGCAACACTGCCGTACCTCGCGTGATGCGGCTTCACGGGCCTGTCGGCGTTTGGGAGTTGCTGAGGTTGAATACCCGTGCGGCTGGCCGGCACGATGATGCGGCGCGGCTCATGTTTACCTTTGACACAGTCTATGAACTCTACCACCGCAATGTTGTCGGCCATTCCGAGCGTAGTCTTGAGCGAATCGACGAGGCCGGCCACCATGCCGGGGCCGACCACCGCGTCAATGTCATGCTTGTACTTCTTGTCGAGTCTCGCCACCTCGTCAACGGGATGGCAGGCGCATGTAGTAATAAATCCCGGTGACGGTGCCGATGGTCGAGCGCAGGCTCTTAGAGATGGTCGATCTTCTACTCGAAAGAGATGGCCGGCAACAGTCCGTCAATCTGCTCGTCTGGGCGCGAATGGTATCGGAGACGAGCGACGAGTTACCGCTCTCTAAATAGTTGACGGAAAATGCTTGCCTGTCACACCGGATCGTCGGGTCGACGTTCTCCAAAATGTGTTCGCGCGCGTCGCCGAAGTGGCGCGGGCGCAAGGAGGCTGCCCTGGAGACCATCACCCACCTCCAAAGGAGACTTTCACGTAGGCATAGCATGTATTCAGCCCACTGCTCCAGGGCTATCATAGACTTCGCGGAATCAACCATCAATTCCCACATTTCGCCGGAGCTGAAAGCCTACGGGCCACCGTGGACGCGGGCGCAGGCGTCATGGTGAGTGATGTTGATATTCTGGTGGTATACAAGTCAGCAAGGCAATCCCTTCCGGCCGGCATGAAGTCCAGCAGTCGTATTCGACTGCGAATGTGGTATGGAAGGAAGTTGGTGGGCAGGGACCAGAATTCCTCTGTTGGGTGTAAGTAGGTGGAAGGGCCCGTTGGCATGGGGCGGGCAAAGACGTTGACGTTGCTGTCAAAGAGACTATTGCAGAAGATGTCGACTTTCTCGTCGAACGCGACCAAATTGCTGCGTTTGGAGGTGGAAGAAAGAGGAAGTGATATATAAGTGGAAGGGCCGTTTGCAGCCGCCCGACCACCTTCCGCATCCTCTTTCCCGCCGTCAATATTCCGATCAGCGCCTTCTCGCCGGTAGAGATGCGTACGTGGGTCATCGTCATCAGGAGCGTCGTCCCGTAGGCAGTCGGCAGGCAGGCCGCGTGGGCGAACAACACGGCATTCGGTATCGGCTGGCAGCACTCGGCCGGCAGAGCGCAATACTCGAACGCAGCGGTGTCTCGCAGCGTCTCGCCCATCATGCCGGCGCCAGGGCAGTAGTGGTCCGGTCGCGATCCGCTGGTCGACGTGCCACTCTAACACATTGGCGCGGCTTGGGAAGGATAGGCTGTCGGGGCTGAACAAATAGAAAGATACGAACAGATGTCATCACCTCATGGGTACAGCATCTTCAATGGCTTTGATGCCCCGTTCATCATTAGAGAGCAAATTTTCATTTTCATCACAGTGTCTGATGTTACGATAAGAGTAAGTGATAGCCATGGAGCTTTTGCAACGAAACTCACAGCTTCTTCTGTTGTTCCCGTGCGCCTTTGCCACCCTGCCAGGATGCAGCTATCGAAACCATCCTGTGAGTGTTTGATAATTAAGACCGCTGTGGATGAGGGCAATTCGACCTAGCTCTCTGTGCCGTTAAGGTCAAGGACACCGGTTGACCTGGCACGCCTTTCGAAAGATGAGCAATGAGGCCAGCGGCGCCTGGCAGTGTTATGGTATAGATCAAGCATTTCATCATTGTGAGCCTCTTGTACCACGAATTCCAGTACAATTACTTTGCTCAATTCTCGGTGAGCGAATCGCAGGGCCGGATGTAACCAAAAGAACTGAGTCGCTGCGATAGACTAATACATGCTCTCCATAACATCATGAGAAATATGACGATGACACTAAGCTCTGATACGTGACAGGAGATCTGCCAAAGAACTTGTTGGGATATTGACGGGTGCGAACGGTCCTTCCACCCACTTCCACTTGACTGAGGATTCGAAGGCTCTACTCACCAACTTTCCTCATTCCATATACATACGCCGTTCAATACAACTAGATATTCAGCTTCATGCCGGTCGAGAGCCTGCAATTCTGACGTGTATACTGACAAAAACTGATAACGAGCCTCGAGGAAGAACATTAACGCATCCCCAAGGCTCCAAAGTCTTACGGTTAAAGACCTCCTGCGAGTACTTGGTTCAAATAAGTAGATCGCGCGTCTCACTACCCTCCAGGCAATCTAGCTCAATCTGGCTGCTTCATTCGCCATGGGGAGTGTGCGCACCGAACCATTCTAGTTACATTAAGAAAAGGAAGCCCCCGAGTAAACCAGATGAAAGTGATTGTTCAAACATCACTCAATATTCAAATGACGCCAAACCAAAACCTGATCTTCTGAAAGCCCTAAAAGTGTCGCCAGGTGTCTTCAAGTCTGAAACTAAAGGAAACTCGCCAACCGTCATATGAAATCAAACATCAGGATAAACATTCTACTTCAGACTGGATCTCGTTGTTTCGTTCTCTGTGAAGACCTCGAATTTTGTTCAAAGTGACCACAGATTGCATTCTATTCGCAGCTTTCTCCGAAGGCCTCAACGATCTCGCCGACTGTGATATTCGCCGGTGTGTGGGCGGAAGACTAAGGGAGAGGTGTAGGCGTGCCGCCTAACCCTTCATCTGTGTAGCTATCCCAGCTCTCCAAAAAGTCTTTTTTGTTGTTTGTTACGAAAAGAAAACCCTCATGTTGATTTGACTGACTCTCGCATATCTGATAGTGTGGGGATCGTATCTTGCATTTTGCACACATCTCAGTGAATTCTTCAGCAGTGAGTTGCGCCATGCCATTCTTGCCTCTGCTTCCGGGTAGTCGTCAATCACATTCAATTTACGTCTGCCTCCAAGACGTAAGCGTTCTGCTATACCCATTATAAAAGCTCGACGTGTTTCAGAAGGTGGAGAAACATTCGGGCCTTTGCCTTATCCAGAATGGGAGCTCGCTGTGTGCATTCGACGGAAGCCGAATCTGCGTTCTATTTCTCAACTCAGCTCCGATATGTTGCGGTTCTTTCTGTCATGTCTTTGAATCATGCTCCGGCCTCTCTTGAAGCAAGTCTAAGCATTAGAGTGTCCCTGAGCTTCAAAGACATCGGTTAAGATATACTCCGAGCCGATCGGCCTCACCTTGCCTGTGAATGCCGTGTACGATCTGTGCAAAGTTGCACAATAGAAGCCTTATTAGGGTGGTGACGTCCGTCAGCGCCTAAAAGTCGGGCATACAAAATGGCGCCCGGGATGCCCATTCTCTCTAGGTATGGTATCGTAGCAAGCCCTGAGACACTTTTCCACTCTAGTCAAGACTCCCAGTCTTATCTAGGACTGTCTGTTGTTATCGAATATAGGTTCAGTGCCCAGGGATCGCCAGAATCCATTCTCAATGCGGCGCTTGTCAATGTTCATTACCTCCGTGATCTCATGATAATTGTCTTCATCAACGACAAACCCACCGTCAACGCTTCAGCTTGCAGTGTAAGGCTTCTCCTCAGAATGATGTGGCAGCCTTGGCTGGTGGCTGGGAGATGCGGTGCGGGGTTTCTGGCATCGGAATCTAGGCGATATGGATGACCCATTTCCAAGATGTGGCCAATGCTATAGTCAATAAATGGTAAACCTTTGGGGCGTGTTCAATCCTCTCATTTGATGGGGTGCACAAGGTGGATGGAATCGGGATCTTATATGGGGCTGCCCGCTCCGAGCCTCCCGCCTTGTTCTGCAATGTGGCAAAGTGATCGCTCCTTCTGTAGCTGTTGCACCTGGTCGATCTAATGACTTTCGTGTTTCTACTCGTTCGTGTGTTTTTGTTGATGCTGCTATGGTCTTTCTTGCCGTCGCTGTTTCAGTGACGGCTGCTGTCGCGTACTTTGACATTTGCCTTTGTTTCCTTGGAGACTCTGTTGTATGCTGGCCAATCACCTCGGGCTTAACCAAGGCGCTTGTTGATTCAGTCAGTGACCTCGATCAGCATGAAATGAAAAGAATAGTCAACCCCTGTGGTTATTTTCTGACTCTTTGAAGTGACGTCATCTACTTTATATGTCATACGGCCAAAGATTTCTTATTTCAAAGTAAGGCATCTGAACAAATCCTGCCTCACAGAGCTGCAAACCAGCACCAAGCGATCTTCTTGAGGTCGCCAACGACTGTCTCTCTCACAGACACCCCAGCGTGGGCTGTGTAAACCGAACGTCTCAGCAGTACTCATACACAAGAACTTGTCGTTGACCTGCAATCACCGTCTCCCATTTTTACTCTTGTGTCTTCTGAGTAGAGATGAGAGGCAAGGAATCACAGGACGCGAGACTCATCTTCTTCCAAGCAAATTATCTAGATCAGTTGAAGACCCTCGGCCAACTTAGCATTATTCAAAAGGTGGATTCGGCCGTGCAGAAGCTTGAGGCGTCAGCAGTGGATTTCAATTCATTCATCCCTGGACCAGTGGAAATCTAAGGTTGTAGTAGAAAGCTAAGAAACCACAAAAACTGATAGACTTCCTTCGAGACGCCTGCCAACATAGACTGGTGATGAGATTCCATCCAAACGGAGGCAGGTATACGTTTCTTGATCACAGCCAGCCCCTTCTCAGTTACCAATTACGACCTACAAAATCAGTTCTGTGAGATCCCCAAGCAGGAGGCCATGTACTAAGAGCAAAAGCCAGCGTTATTTCTTCCTCTAAGCGTAAGAAGCTGGTCCTAGGCCTTGCCAATGTAGGGGTGTCGTCATCTGACAATAGTCAGGCCGAGAAGGGAAATGAGGACCAGGAGGATGCCCTTACGGCTGTGGTCCTACATGCTCCGACTTGGTAGTGAGTTGTAACAAAATAGCGGCTCCGGGGCTCCGACAAAACCAAGACCTCGATCGGCCTTCGAGGTTCTGACACCATCGGCCTGTTGGTATACGCATCAGCAGGGCAACTTTGCGGCCAGTGGGAAGTCCAATAATCGTATATTGACTGTGTGATGGGAATTTGGAAGGAGAAGCTTGCTGAGCAGAGTCCACGATTCCTTCGTTGGGTGTATGTAGGTGAAAGAGAACTCGGTAGGAACTTGACGTGGGGCCATCCCGCCATCCATATCCTCCTTTTCTCCTCAGAATTATTCCAACACAACCTCTGTCACTGCCTCGAGTAGATCGAAAGGGGTATATACTAAGAGTTTCACGATGAACATCTCTGATCGCGTACCCATCATTGGTGCCGGTGATCTCCTTCACGTGAATCTCAGCTTTAGAACAGATGTCGAGATACTAGCGAGCACCCGCCACTCGTTTCGCAGTCTGGCGGATGGTTTTACGTCATGCTCAAACCCCATCTTCGTCACCGACTGAACCATGGGTTTGACCACTGGTTATCGCGTACAGTCTAACATCCGCACGTTCTAGTCCGACTGCCCGTCATGAAGTTGAACTGCCTCATCAGCAGTTTCATACAACCAAAGATCGTAAATCATCTAGGATGAGCACTGCATGAACTGAGCAAAGACCCTGGATTGAAGTCAGCCTTCGATTCGCTGGATTGACCAGCATAGCTAGCATTGGACCTAGTTTACGCATCTTTGGTTATCGGCCGTTGGAGATTATCGTCAATAAGAGCGGAAATATCCTCTTTTCAATTACTCGAGTAGCGTTCTATCGATGGGTAACATCACTTCTCATAATGGCGGAATGGCTTCAACCATCCGTAACTTTACTGTCGCCATGTGACTTCGGTCATATCATTATACAGCGGTTGCGCTAAGAATCATATTCGCTCGGACCCGCCCTTAGTGCGAGACTCGTTCCTATCTTTACTCTTGCTGGGCAGCAGATCTTCAATTCAATGATTACATATCTCGATGCCTACCTTGTAATAGCACGACATGTGGCCAATGAGATGCTGTTTATTGTCTGATGTAAGGTTTCTCTTCACACAGTCGCGACTGCAGAGGTAGAGTGCTATCGATTAGCTAACGTCGGGTTACGGCGGGCTTGCTGATAGTATTATCTCATGACCAAGGAAATATCAGGCAATCAATAAAGCCGTCCACAGCGACGCTTCAAAGTTCGAGAATAAAAGAGCTGACTCGCGCGTTCGGGCAGTGGCCGTGGCCTATCCGATGCCATGTGGCCTGCGAAGGCTGAGATGATGAACTTCCAGCTTTGCTCTTGCGTTTCAAGTTGAAGCTAGCATGGTCAAGCTGTCACATACGACCATACCCATTGGAAAACTCGGGATCCCGTCCGCTCTCCCATAGATAAGCCAATGAGGGCCGGATTAGTAGTTGGGTCGGTGACGACCAGCGAATACCTGGTGTTGTATGTTTTTGGTTTTGCTCGGTTATCGTGACCCACACCTGACTAGTTTATTGTGAACTACTGCATGCATTTGTCCCTTTTTTCTTCTTCAGGGCATACTCCTCCCCTACCTACATCACGGTCTGAAATGGTAGCTGGGCAACAACAACTGACACGTAACAGCGCAATACATATAATTTAGATCCAGTTACTAAGCACCGTGCCCAGTGAACCATTAGTACTTGAAGTGTA